AAAAAAAATATACTGAAAAAGAAATGTGAAAAAAATAGTGAAAAACTAATTTCACTTAAACTTTTGTCCGGGAGTGTAGTACGACTAGCAAGGCAAATACAGGGATGTGAATGTGAAGTGAGACAGAAGAAGAGAACTACATTCCTTTGCCTATCTTGACATTGTTCACTTTTGTTTTAAAGTTCAATGACAACAGGAAGAAAGAGGTCACATATTTTTCGTATTCACATTCTATGTGAATCATGCGTAAAACCGCTGAAGCAGAATATGAATCAAAAGATGGAGAGTTAAGAATAGAGGCAAAGTAGATTCAACGGAAAAGTATTTGAAAATATCAAAAGTTTTTCATGAGTTTATATTATTGCCTTTTTGTTATCAAATATAGAACAAACAGTTTCAGCTGGTAGATATTTTACAAACAAAGTTAAATTGCACACCAATTCTTTCGGTTCTTCCAAGTCAATGAATACATAGTCGTAATTCCTCGACCTTATTATGCCGTATTACAATCGTTTATCAACTCGTTCAACTATGCACATCCGCTTTCGCAATAGTTTAACAAAGTTGAACATACTTCGGCCATGTACCATAGTACACAGTGGTATAAAAACAATATATGGCAGTCACGTATCACCTTCTATAGAAGAGAGAAGTTTATTTTGTTACCTCAGCATATCTTTTTATGCGTGTCTCCTTGATTGCGGGCAATTTTTCTTAATTGGAGGAAAAATATGTCCGCAAAGTAGAATCAGGGGGTATAGACAAAAATGACCGCATTTTGAAAATTGTCCGCAAAGCAGAATCGAGGCAGAGAATGAAAATGTCCGCATTATAGAATCAAAAAAAAAGTAGAAATAGTAAGAAAATTAGTACAGACAAATCGATTCTATCGACGCTAATCAGTAATGATTCGATTAGAACAGGAACACGCACAACAACGAACAACTCGTCCAAAAAAGTTAACTTCAGTTAATAATGAAAATATTTTAGTACAAGCAACAGAAGATTATTTAAATGGTCTACTAGATTTAGATGATTATCAAAAAAGACTACGTTCTCTTTGTTACCGATACATTCACATATTTGATACATCTGACAAAGATGACGAAGATTATGAACCAAAGCATAGTTGAATGTTGAATCATCTCGTACTACTTGTATCTTTCTCTTTCCTCACATAATAAATTTTTTCTTGATTCTATAATGCGGACATTTTCATTCTCTGCCTCGATTCTGCTTTGCGGACAATTTTCAAAATGCGGTCATTTTTGTCTATACCCCCTGATTCTGCTTTGCGGACATTTTACCTTAATTGGTTAAAAAAAGTGTCCGTATTGTAGCTGTAGCCCTTTTTATGACCTCCATATACATTCATCGTTTATGAGATTCGTTTATAATCCGTAAACAATCATTTATCAGCGTGCTATACGACCTGAGTTTTCTCCTTGTCATTATTGTTTGATCGTATATCTATATCACAGACGTATGTTCAAGTACTTAACTCATTCTGAAAGTTTCAGCTCTATAGAGTGAGAAGTTATTGAGAAAATTGAAACTGTGCTCTATGTACATCTGTACCACTGAAAGCAATATTTGCATTTCTGAGTAATTTCGGTAAACAAGCTTAAATATATTTAAACATTGCTAAAGATGTCCAATATATATAAAAATATTTTTCATTAACTTTCACATGTCCTTTCCTCTTCATACAGCTCATAGTTTGTTCACATCAAAAAAAATATTGACAACTCTACTATTTAAAAATTTATTGCCGAACGACCAATAGTTGCTTTTTTTGATCGTCAATTAAATTAAGAAAGAGAATTTAAAAAAATTTTAACAATTGACTCTATTATAGGAGTAATTTTTCATTAAAACCTCAACAATTCAGAATTCCAAAAATGCTATTTTTTTCCCATGAGCTACGAAAATAGTAGATTCATAAAATCACTTCACTTTCGTCGAGTATGAGAATGTGTATTTTGCCTTGATCTTTCAAAACAATGCCTAATCCACACGCATGTTTATCGAACAGAAAAACATGCATTGTTTTTGCAAATAGGTAAGTTTAGACAACGTCATGTCAGAAAGGCAAATACAAAGGCGCACCGATGTTTTTTTTTGCTGTGGTATAGACCCTAAAACTATGTAGTCAAATAAAGAAAAACAAAAGAAAACGATAACAATTAAAAAAAAAGCATTTTGTTGTTTTTCATGCATTACAGTGTTATTTTTTCTCTTTTATTCTTATCTTTAGCCATATAATCAAGTAATATGACAAACAGAATGAACTTGGTATTCTTACCTAATGAACTATTACTATATTTATTTGAATATTTAACAACTCTTGATCTTTTTCAAGCGTTTTATGGTCTAAATTTACGTTTTAACACTCTCATACTAATTCATTGTCGAAAATGTCGTCTTGATTTTCAATCAATAACAAAAACAGATTTTGATATTATCTGTAAAAATTATCTTCCATGTATTATCGATCGAATTATATCTCTTCGTCTTTCGGATGATGATAATACTCCTCAACAAATTGGTCTTTTTCTTTCATATAATTTTCAATTAGAACAATTTATTAATTTACAAACATTATCATTATCAAATATTCATTCTTCATATATACTTGATAAATTAATAACTGAATGTTCACATCTTTTATCTCTTACACATCTTACATTGACAAAGTGTTATATTTCAATGAATCGAAATAATGCTAATCAATTATATAGTAAAATTTGGAGTTTATCAAAATTAAAATATTGTTATATTGATATTAGTTTTGCTCATGGAAGTTGTTTTCCAATGCCAACAATTATTTCAACATCACTTAAACATTTATCAATAATAAATATGTCTTGTTATTTAAATGAATTAATTCATTTATTTCAATCAACACCTTATCTTCAATATTTATCCATTGATTTTATGGATTATGCTAATGATTATGAATTATCATTACCGATTTTGTCAATTACTCATTTAAAACTTTCTTTTGATAGTTCATTAAATATTTTACAATATCTTTTACAAAATATGCCTGATCTATGTGATTTAACATTAGAAACATGTAATATTTATATGGATGGATATCAATGGGAAGAATTAATACGTAGATACTTATCAAAATTAAAAATATTTCGATTTAAAATGAGATTTTCAGCATTAAATGATGAAAGTAAAGAAATTCAATCAAATCAAATACTTGATTCATTTCGAACTAATTTTTGGTTAGATGAACATCAATGGTTTGTACGATGTCATTGGTATTCTTCCGATGAACAATATCATTTTGATTTCATTGATCTATTTACTTTACCATATGGATTTAAAGATTTTCTTAGTTATACAGGTTGTACATTAGCAAAATCAACTTGTTCTAGTGATAATGAATATTGGTCATATGATCATGTGAATAATTTATGTTATGGATCTTCACATTTTACAAGTTCGATTATGTCACGTGTTCGTTTTTCTAATATTCAATATCTTTCATTATCACTTCCATTCAATGATCAATTCTTATTAGTTGTTTCTAAACTTGATCGATTAACATCATTATGTATATCAATAAATAATCATAAAAAAACTGATAATGTTCTATCGCAATTACAAACACTACTTGATCAAGCACCTTGTTTATATTCATTAAGTCTTGATGCATGGCCTTCATTAAATCAACAAGTACCATTAATGGAAAATATTTGTCCATCAATTCGAAGATTAAATTTTCAAGGATATGCGCGTGGTAAAAATTGGTGCTATTTTAATGATGAACAATGTCGTCAATTAAGTCATTCTCCATTGGGCATTCAATGTGAAACACTTTTGATTAAAGTTAAAAATCGAAGAAATATCCTTGATCTTGTGAATAGTATGTCTCATCTTCGAGCATTAAATGTTCGATGTGAAGATGATCCGTGGATGATTCAAAAGAATACGTTATCACAAACAAAAGACGAACTTATTGAATGGCTACAACATAATTTACCTTCATCATCTATGATTATGAGAGATACGCGGCAGATTCATGCTATTAGATTATGGATTCGTTAAATAATAAGCTTTATGCTGAAGCAAGGAGAGTATCATAATTTTATCTCATATTAATAAAAACTATCGAATTCGTATTATGTCGCCATAATAAAAGGACAAAACAGAAAATAAAAACACTTTCTTAAATATATGTTGTTACAGTGATATGAGATAGATGCATAGATTCCATTAATTGTGCAAAATTTAAATAAAGAAATGAATATAAACTCAAGAGCGGAATTCTATAATGAAGTAATTCAAGAAAACAAATTTTTTTAAAAGTGTGTAAACATCCAGGTAAATATAAATAGATGTTTTTATAAAGAATTAAAATACGAATCTTCGGGGAAAAAAAGATATTCGACTTATTTAGAAATGGTTGAAGGCTCAAGTTTTTTATCCTTCCATTATATATATATACACATGTATGTAACAAAGTCATCGTGCAAATGAAAAATTGACATGACTCATTTCAGCGTTGCCGTTGAAAACATACTTTTTTCGTAAAACTATATCCTCACAACAATGTTTTAAATTGAAAAAAAAAACCAATCGACCAAACATATCAACGAAGAAAAGAATAATAGAATACTTCCTGTTCTAATTCAATTTCCTATTTCAAAGTCTAAACTCATTTTGATTGGCAATCAATATTGTGAAAACTGATTAATATAATGCAAAGCAGATTTTTATGTATGCCTCAGTTGAAGCCGACACAAGATGCATCATTTTTACATAGCATGATGCAAGCAAATTTTCATATTTGAGTTATATTAGAAGTTTACTGACAAGCTTCTTTCTATGTTAGATGATCATCTTTTCGTTCTTTTAATTACACGTGGATGGAGAGGCAAAGAAGAACTCAAGCCTATTCATTTTGTTTCAATGACTTTCTTCTGTCACCTATATGCGCATCCTAATCGTCAAACATGATGCTATTTATGTACGCCCATTCTCATCGTTATACAATGCAGAATTAACATATTTCTGAGCATGGATAAATACCACTGTATCTTTGCAATGGTATTTTTTTTTAGAGTAGGTAAATATCATTGGATCTTTTACAATATTGCTCTTCAACAAGCATTGCCTAACGTAAGACAGAATACAATATGAATCGAGTAAGCATTTTGCTTCTCTTCGTTTTGATACTTAGCCTTTTGGGAATCATATGTATTGCCATTGCTATTGCCACCAATTCCTGGTTAGTTATAGAAGCAGTCGCAGGTCCAATGGCAGCGTCTGCTGAAGCAGGTTTATGGAAAACTTGCTCAAATTATAAATTTATGATAGAATGCATCGATCTAGTAATGTCGACTCCAGTAATCTTGATTCTCATCGGTCTTGGTCTTCTCGTATTGGGTTTTCTGACAGCAGCAGTCGTACTTATTTTCAAACGTCTACTACCAATCGTTGCTTTGCTTCCCGTCATATTCTTTCTTATGGCAGCTGCCTTTCTTCTTGCGTTTGTCGCTATCTATTGGTTTCGTATACTGAATACTCTGTCTCAACAGTATCTGACGAATACGATTATTGCAACATCTACATTTTCCATTGGCTACAGCTGTGCTATACTTGTCGCCGGATTCGGGATGATGATACTCAGCATTTCAATTGCTTCGTTTGTTGCCGGTAGTCTGATGTCGACTTCAACTAAGAAACCCGAACATCGTTATCCGATGGTCCCTACTGTTGTTCGGCAATATTCTTACTTTTAACTATTTGTATTGTTCGTCTTGCCAAGTCACTTGTAAATTGATATTCGGTCATCTTCTCCTGCAATAACCATGTGTGTACAATCTTGTTATGGTTTACATATATCGGGTTGCTTACTAACCGATGGTTTATATATTTTGCTTATGTATCAAGATAGTTCTGATCTACGAACAGTCTTTCATGAATAATATAGTCTCTGCACATTGTTTTACTTTCCGTATGCTAGTAGTTTGCTTTGATTGCTTTCATCCTAAGTTACTTCAATAAGCACGGTGATTTTTTAAGCCCTATTATTGATAGAGAATTAAATAAACCGCAAATACGAAGAAGAAATAATAAAATTTTGTGATTTTTCGTTTTGGTACATTAATGATACGATTTTTCATTACGTATTGGTGATGTAAATAAAATCATTTTACACCGAATAATCACTAACAATCTTACTAATGATCTCTGACAAATACATTTGTACTAGATTGTTATTATTTTTCATCAAGTCTTTCTTCTCTACCAGTATCGAACGAGATGCTTTAATGTATTGTTTGCCTGAATTTGGTCAAAAGATAAAAGCGTGGATGTGATTTTCTATTTGTAAACACTCACATCCAGGTCTCTTTTCGACATTAGTCAGGAAAATCCGATGTACCTTGTTTGTAAAGCAGATCAGTTTGAAATATACCAGAAAAATATTTGCTGACGCTATGCGCCTCACTTTTCCATGTGGTCACACATGATTGATAAGATTGTTTGCCATCGAACAATCCATGATTAGAACGAGGTTAGGTGAAAATTCCTGACCAATCATGAACATCGACTTCGCCAACAACGGAAAACACAACTAAAGTCGCTGATTTTTTAGTAAACATGTTTATGAATAGCATTCGGCTTATTTCCGAAGAGGGTAAACCTATCAAAATTCGTCATTTAGCATACAATGTGCAATGTTTTGAATGACAAGCCAAACCAAATGCATTTAATTCAATGATGAAAGAGCTACTTTTTATATTTTTATCAGTTCTAAATTGAAGTATTTTCTTATAACCAATGCATGTAGATAGAACTTAGTTTAAAAAACAAGATGACTTGTATAATTAGATCATTAAATCCACCATAAGAATCACAAAAAGTTGATGTTTTCGATTTTTCAATTATTTCGATTTTTACTTTGAATCACTTCAGTTTTTCTATTTGAAGCTGACCGAAAATCTAAAAAACGTCAGTTAAATATTAGAGAAAAAAAGAAATTATTTCTGCTGTTCTCTCGTAACCACCATATTGAAACTATTGGTGAATTTTATGCGACATCCATCGTGATGAATGGATGTTTTTCGGCCCATAAGAAACAATTACCAGACCTTTTCTTTGAAGTCACAGACTCCTTGATCACTATACTTGACACAATTGAACATCTTTTTATGGAAACATTTCAAAACAAACGTCTAAATTACAGCAGGGTATAACATCTGAATAATTTAAAGCCTAGAATAATGAAAGGAGTTGAAAAAAATGAGAAAGAAACGTTGCGGGATGATAATTTTTAGAAATTATGAAATGCTTTTACATTTGCTGTGAAGTTAGAAACAGTACTTTTGAATAGTATTAATGAACATGGTTATTATACAAGAAAAAAACCATTATGTTCTTCTCTGCCAAATAAAAAACAATATTAGGTTAAATTTGTTTATTAATGCAGTTATACACGTTTCTTTAATAGTCATGAATTTTGGGACACTCTGTAGAAAAAATCACAAAAAAGAATATGCAAAACTAACTATGATGCCTGGAAATGAATTTTCGCATTAGTCCTCATAACATTTCAGTAAGCCCTGCATAATGTATATGTGACAGCATGACGTACTCCGTACATGAAACCATGCAGAGATGACTATTAAAAAAAATACTGTAGGCTATAAATGTTGCCAGTCGATCCTATCTGTTGTTTGCAGTAATACAGAAATGTAGCTCATCTATATATAAATATTAGTTTTGAGACATTACTACAACTCAAAATATTAATCATAACCAATAAACTGTTCATATTCATAGTAATAGTATGATATTTTGTTTTGTTTTCAAGCTTAATTCAGATCAGGAATGCCTCTCAATTTTTTCACATGGGAAATTTCATACTCTAGATTAGAATACGTTTAGTATAGACGAGGAATCAGATAGAAGGATGCGTTATCTGACAAACTAACCATCATATGAGCTACAAGAAAGGGAAGAGAACGAGCTTCGAATGAAGATGGACAAGTTATCGACAATAAATTACAGATAGCAAGCTGCTTTTAATATCAAATATTGTGACTATCGTTACCATCAGTCCCGAATTAGCCAATTAGTTGTATAATTATCAAGTTTATCCACTCGATCATTATCATAATAATTCTCGAATACACGCACCAATATTTGAACATCTTTTACAGCTGTATTCAGACCTTTAGCACCTATCGGTGATAGAATGTGAACAGCGTTATCAGCAAAGAAATGACGTTTGTATTGCATTGGTGTTGTAGCAGAAACACGTATTGGAAACAAGACTCGTTCAACGATTGGTCCTTCGTTCAGTGTCCATGAAAGTTTATTAGATTTCGGACGCAATTTCAGTTCATTCCAGATCCGTTCATCAGGCCAATCAGCTAATGTATCATTGAGAGAAACTTGTAAATGAGAACGTGTACTCGCAGGTGAACGGATGCTTTGCAGAGCAAACCTATATGTAGTATTAGCACTATAGATAAGTTCTTTAGTGTTGGTGGAGTTTGATTAAGAAGACTAAAGCAAGGAAATGGATAAATCCGTTCTATAGTATGAAGGATGTCAGGAGGAACAGAACCACGATAGCATGAACTTAATACACCATCTCCACACCGAGTAAAGCGAATCAATGGACCAGAACTGTCATCTAAAATTACATTATGAATCTCACTTTGGTCATCATTTTATTTTAAAAAAAGTATTACCTGCAACGTCGTATCGTTTTATTTCTAGAGATTCAATATCAAACAAAAGTTGTCGTTCACTTTTAATTCGTAGCTCTATAAGATCTTGTGAGACAAACTGTTGTCCATAAGTCGTTACTGCTTTGACATGTGTCAGTTCACTCAGAAGAAGGATTATGCGTTCATCGTCGAACTGCACGTAAATATTGTGCTGATTAAAACCTTCCTGGAATAGCCTTTCATCAGCTCCTAGTTCGTCGAGAATATCTACAGTTGCTTGTTCTAACAATTGAGCTCGAATATTTGATTCAATATATGAGCGAGAATAACGTTCAAGCTATGTTCGATGAATGTTTGAAGATG